ATATGGAACCACGCACTTTTTCAACCAGATAGCAAGAAAGCCAGCAAGAAGTGTCATTGGTCGAATTGGTGCGGTAGCGTGCCACAAGAATGACTTGAACTTGGTCTTCGCAGGAAAGCCACCCTCAGGACCGCCGGTGGTGTAAGATTGAGCGCCGATCTTCTTCAGTAGACTGTTCACCTCTGAAGGAGTGAATGGGGCCAGCTCACAAATATCCTCGCCATGAGTGCTCTCCAGATTCTTGAACAAGTAGTTCGCAAATTGTTTCAGACTCACACATACCTTGGTCCTCTTTGCTAAGGGCTCCGACTGTGCCAAAGCAATATGGTAATGACAAGTGAGGTCCCATAGAGTCTCATAACGGTCAGGCATGCGATCTTTTAATTGGCTCAACTCATGACTGGAAGGAAAGTACTCCTGGTATAGCATCTGTCCCATGGACAAGCCAGAAATCCTGTGCATCTCGTGAAGAGCCAAGCCTAACTCCCCCTGCCGGGTCAGAAAAGTGTTCGAGTCTGGATTATATAGCTCGAACAAAGCACAGAAATGTCTCAAACTGATAGGCAAGCCATACACGGTGGCACGAACGGCTGCATACAAACCGCAAGCATGCAACTCCTCGCCCCATCGGCTCAAGACGTATGTCGTCATGCGGCTCCACCAAGACTTGTCCGAAGAGTGGACCCAACCGTAAAACCTGTGACGTGTCGCTGGCATCTCCCGTCCCAGAACAGCGAGACGATTCCTCAAGGTGGAAGCGGTAGCAAGGAACTCGTTACGTGGTGGTTCGTCCAGCCCCAATACACCAGGACGCAATCCGGTAACACGACTTCTGCACGAACCAGGAACCGCCGAATGAGTGATATAGCCGCAATGGACACTCATATGATCCTCTGTCAAGCGCCACGACATCTCCCGTGTCACAGCCTGACATCTGAGCTCAGTCAATGAACGATGCCGAGGAATCTCCGGCAAGTATATGAAGCCATTGCCGGTCTTGTGAAGCCAATGCTCAGCACCAATGAATACGGCTTCTGGGTCATCGACAGAATCACCAAATAGGAAATCGCTCTTTCGAAGAGGCTGAGTAGAGCTGGCGTCCTTCACAAAAGGCGCATCTGTGATTAGCTGGCGAATAGCTCGATGACCACCTTCCCTCACCACTTGGGCAACCTCAGTCGACGTGTCCGAAGCAAACTGAGGGGTAGCTGGAATAGGGGAAGGATCGTTGGAGTTCGAATAATGCTCGCCACGCCGTCCATATATTGCGTGGGACGGGAATGATCCAGAAGGGTACCCCACTGCAAAATAGACAGTTAAACACTGGTTAGTCTCGATTATAAAAGGAAATTGAACTCATCTTACAAATAGCTAAGATAGAGTCATTGCCTTATAAAGGGTGAGACGATTTGGCCACATTGTGCAATCACAAAACAGGGTATGTCGACAACATATCCCTGCCTTATAAAACGCAATGTAGTGTCAAATCGCCCCCTTTAATTTTGAGATATGGTTTTGACCAAGCAAAACATATCTTTGAAGCGTCGATCCTCACCAAGGAGAATCAAGGCTCTTCCCGATTGCCTCGCCAAGGAGAACAACGTGGGGTTTAAAAAAGGGTCAATTTACAAATTTATAAGAAAAAAGGGTTTATTTGCAAAAAGTAGCTCACCAGCATAAGAGGGAGGCGCGCCATCAACCGACATGGCAGGGGAACGACCTCTCGAGGCGCGAGACATGACGGCCTGCAAAATAACTCAAAGGGTTAGATTCAAAAAATAATTTCAGCCCTAATTTTTGCATAAAAACCCCTCAAAATTGCATTTTTACCCCCCTGAAAGATTAGCTCGAGGCATCAAATCACACCCTCAACCCTCACATATAACCCCACAAATGCATGAATTAAATTGAGCATGAAAAAGATCCAAATTGTGGAAGATTTACCTGAAGAAAGGCTCGAGATCCAACGAAGATGAGACCTTTTAGGAAACTTTCACCACGTGCTCGAGGGGTCTGAGAGGAATTCTAAAAAATGATTTTTTGAAGGATCTCTCAGTCAAAGATCAAAAGGAAACCCAGATCTCGGATAAATATCAAAGTTTCGAGGAGAAAAGACGCTCGAGGGAAGAGAAAACTCAAAAAGGAGGAAGAGGGGGGGGCCGGCCCTAGAAGAGAGGAGGAAGAGAAGAAAAAAGAAGCCAAAAAACCCTCTTTTATAGCCTTAAACCAGATCTGGCTGAACCAGACCAGACCAGACTGAACCAGACCAAGCCAAATTGGACCAGACTGAGCCAGAATGAGCCAAATTGAGCCAGAATGAGCCCAATTGAACCAGATTGAACCTGGCTGGACTAGACCAGACCAGAGTGAGCCAGAATAGGCCAGATTGAACCAGATTGAGTTAGATTGGACCAGTTTGGGTCAATTTCGAACCAGTTTGAACCAAATTCGAACCAGAATTCAAATTGGAGCTAAATTAAGCATCGAAACGAATTCAGATCAATCAATGGTTCGATCCCTCACCTAGTTAACCCCTCTCCCACATATTGGGAAGGGTCAGAAAGATTTTGAGCCCAAATACTGCCTTTTTTGAGACATCTTTGGACCGGTTCTGATCATTTGAGCACGGAAATACTCCAATAAGGTATACGAGTATAAACTATTTCCTATTGTTGTTGAGAAGTTCCTGGAGAATATTTTTCTAAAAATATTCTTAAGGATAACTCAATAACACGACGTCGGACAACGTGTCACAAGTGAGGATTCAACACCGACAATCGAGCGTTAGTTGCACGTCGAACCAACCAACACGAGTTAAAGATTGAAAAAATCAGGAATCGACTTCAAAGTTCAAATTCCAACAACGGTCAGACAATAAATGCAGCACCGGAACCCCTACAGGCATTCTACAAAGCACTGAATGGCCCGAAGGATTGAAGGAATACAGAACAAAAGTCATTTCCAGGTCCCGTTACACCGACAAAGGGTAGGGGCAATCATATCCAAAGCATTCCAGACTCTTCTATAAAAGAACGAGGCTGAAAAGCTTTGGAGGGGGTATCTGTAGGCGTATAAAACTGCTTATAGGTCCCTTGACACAGCTCGGCGCGATGATTCGACAAATCGACGAACGTTCAAGCAACGAAACGAACTAAAGAGGCTACAAAGCTAACGAACTGCATGTGAACAACGTTAGTGGTTCGGGGAGTCGACGGGTCTTCCAACAAAGTGGATTTGAACTCAAACACCGACTGAGTTTACTGCCAAATCCGGAATCAAGTCAACAAATCAACAAAACAACCGAACAACGGACAAAACAACCGGAAACAACGGAAAACGACAAAACCAGCGCACCTGGGGGAACTCGGCCCGAACCGAACCACCCTAAGGTGGCTCGGCCCAAGCCGAGCCACCCTAGGGTGGCTCGGGGGCCGAGCACTGGTTGATGAGCCTACCCCTGAGCCTATTTCTGAGAGCTCCCCTTTACCTCCACTTCCCCAGATATCACCCACATATACAGCACACGACATTGATACTATTATTGATGATAACATTGTTTCTACTAGCAATGGTGGTATCCGCAGGTATTTGGTACGTTGGAAAGGACGACCTGAGTCAGATGACACTTGGCTCGATAGGGATGACTTGCAGAGGCTGGATCCAGATCTTCTTGAGCAGTATGACAGCCGTTCTGATTTACACTCGACAGGGTCGAGTTCTCTCCCACCCGGGGAGAATGATGGGGACATCCGGACACATACACGGGATTTTCGCCGAGTTTATCAGCGAAGGAGACGCCAGGTTGCAGCACTATGGTTTTGATTTCAATTGTAATAAATTAGTTTGAAATTTGAATTTTTTTTTTTGAATTTCAAATTTTTGAATTTCGAATTTCATTTGGCAGCTAATTAGTTAAGTGGTTGTATTTTGGTTATGAGAGAGATTTGAGGGATTTAGAGGATTTTCCAAATCTGTACTTTTCTTATTTAACTCTCTTGTAATCAGATTGAAGAATTATTGAAATGAAATGAAATTGATTTGCTCAACTGAGGTGTGAAACCCTAGCAGTTCATTTTCGTTTCTTCTACAGCACAAAAAAAAACAAAGAAAATATAAAAAAAACGCACTGTTCATCTTCTCCCCCATCTCAAATCACAGAACCCATCAACCCTTCAAACCCATCCCGCGCCGCCGCCCGCCTATTCCTCTTTCCCCTGCAGCGCCTCTTTCTTTCCTCAGAACGAGTGAAGGAGGGGAAAGATATTGAGAACGGATCCAGTTCCTTCACCCGCGCCGCCGCCCGCCTATTCCTCTTTCCCCTGCAGCGCCTCTTTCTTTCCTCAGAACGAGTGAAGGAGGGGAAAGATATTGAGAACGGATCCAGTTACTCAGACCCGTATCTATTTGATTGGTCACTTTGGGTCAGATCTGACCCGAATCAAAGTGGTTCAGATCTGTTTATTTTTGGGTTCATTTGTATTGGTCTGCATTTGTGATTGCTCGATTCTGTTGGCCGTTGGTGTATGGCTGATCCTGATGCTGATGACGGAATCGTGCTAGATCCAGAGACCGGCATAGTAGATTTACAACTTTCCCCGTGGTTTGATTATCAGTCATTCGAGAGCGTGCCCGAGTACGTGGAGCGTGTGACCCATCAGATCGTTGACAGCGTAGAGAGTAGTTTGGGAATCAGTTCATGACATCGGCGTTTCCATCCAGATACACCGCTCCATCCTAATTACGCCGCCCTCGGTGGAGAGCTTCCACCCCTCATATTTGGCGTCGTTGAACCACCTCCAGAGGATCCTCCCGTCGAACCAATTCAACCCGACGAAGGTTCAACTTTCTTTCGCCCAATTATTTTCGGAAATGCTATTGCTTGCATGTTGTTATCAATATTATTATCGATCGTATTTGTGCTGTAATCAGTTTGATTAAGTGAGCGAGCGAATCTGTTGCTAAGTACTTTTACTTATCTAAATATTACAATTTGAACTGTATTGAGAGAACGAATCATTACATTTATTTTCTGGATCATTTACAAAAGATTTGAACTTAGTACATTGCAACTTTTGCTTAAAAACCATCGAAAGCTACACTTTATTCTTGAGCTTCCTGCCTAGATCGATCGCTGATTTGGCGAAGCATTGTTGTCGTTAATCTTCATACCTGCATCACATTGTTTCGCATCACCTAGGCATTTGAACCCGACGCCTAGGCGGGAGCCTAGACGGTTATCCTATTTTTTATTTTCTTAATTACAATAATTGTTAGTAAATACCAATGTGGTGGTGGAGGATTTTCTAAATGTCAGAGGAGGTAGAGGTGCTCATAGTTGGAGGCTGGAGGAGTTTGAGGAGCTTGGAGGACGTGAAGTCTGCAACGGAGGAAATCACGATCAAGGCATAAAGGGTGCGAACCGCGTAAGCAACACACACTCCCCTAGATTCTCCCATAACTTAGGTGCACAGCCTAGATACCACCTAGGCACTAGACATTAGGTGGGCGGCCAAGGCACTGCCTAGGTCTACATGTACACCTAGGCGGTTGGGCAGAGACTCTTTAAAACAATGAGCAATAAGGCTAAAGAGAAACCAAATGACGAAAAACAACTCACATATAACTTGTTCGCGTGTTTTATTTACCACAGACCTAGCAGTGTTTTGGTCAGACAGCATTTCCTTGTATGGATTTGGGTGTAAAAAATTGTCTGGACTTCGAATTTTGCCTCCTGTACAATCAGTTGTTTTAAATAGAAAGGATCAAGTCTGTTCAAAGTTCAAACCTCTATCCACACGACCTAACTAGAACTAACCCACTTAGTAGAAGAGTGACAACCACGTTCAAGTAAACCATGAACAGACGATATAGTTCAGGCAGAAGTTCCTCAAACATTTAACATGGGTAATTTCAGGCTATCGCTACATGGTCGGCCAACCAATGACCAGATTGGGCCCATTGCAACCTTATTGAACCTTAATTAATACTTTATATAATAAGACAAAAACTATAATGATACAAATCGCAGAAAAATATATATACAGTAGAGAAGTTGGACTATACAATCAAAAGAAAGTAAAGGTCAGCATAAATGAAAATGTATGATTTTCTAAAACCAAGGTTTGCAAACTCAGTTTCTTCATGACATACATATATACATATGTATGTACATGTGATGGATAAAAGTATGAAATTACCTGATAAGCAAGTTTTGTTCGAGCCAAATCCAATGGATAGGTGCACAAAACTGCAGTTCCACCAGCAGCCGAACCAGCTAACAGATCTATGAAAGGTCCTGTTCCCAGCGAGGGATAGTTGTTTAAAAGACAACACCGATACTGCTCGTAGGTCATAAAGTGCAATGCAGCATATGGAACAATCCTAAGAACGCTAGCACCATTTCCCCTAAAAGTTCAAAACATAAAAAAGGTGCTAATGACACACACACAGCAAGCAAGCGAGAGAATGTAAACTTGCTTCCTTATTCTACAACTTACTTATAGAATCCAAGGATGCCCTCATGTTGCTTCAACTTCTTCAGAGATTGGATTATTCCAAGATATTTGAACCCTTCAGTTCTTGTCTGTTATAAGAGAAACAAAATAAGTAAATTTTTTTATACACATAAGAATACTGGAACAATTATTGACCACTAAATAAGAAAATGATCTTCTAAGCTTTAATCTGATAAGAAAGAATAATGAAAATATCATTTTTTTTATAGCATAAACTAGTGTTTTCTCCAAATGAAGCAACAAAATAAATTTACCAGAGTCCAAGGGCTACTGCTGGACCAAAGAACAAAGTATCTCATTCAGAAGCCCATGACAATAATAAAACTTGCACAAATACAAGAGATCAATCTCAAAGGAAAAGTAACACCCACGAAGATAAAAGTAAGGGTTATTTAGATAGTAGTCCCTCTAATCTATAACAATTCCAAATTAGTCCCTCAAATCTGAAATTGCTTATAAGTCCTTCAAATCCTAGGGGTCTTGGGGTCTTGCAATTTGGTCCCTCAATCACCAAATACCACTCACTTAATGTTTTTTTTGAACAAAATGGGTTTTGGAGGGAAGCATAAATAAGGGGTATTTGGGTCATTGAGGGACCTAAGTGCAAGACCCCTTAGATTTTCAGGGGCTTATGAGCAATTTCAAATTTTTGAGGGACTAATATGGAATTATTGAAGATTTGAGGGGCTAATATCTAAATAACCCTAAAACCTTCAAATTTTTGAGGGACTAATATGAAATTATTGAAGATTTGAGGGGCTAATATCTAAACAGTAAATGACTATAAACAACTCTCAACTAAAACCTTCAAGATTGAATTAGCAACATAAAAAAGACACTTAAGAATAGGCGAAACTCGAATATGACCGTGTGACATGCTCAATACTTTATGGTAACTTTCACAAGGAAACTGAAAACCACAATCTTATACTTGAGCCTACCTAACCACAATCAATCACCAAAAGATGCATTCAACTTACACACACAGAAGTGCATACAGAATGTGGTAAAGAAGCTTTGCAATTCAAAAGAAAAGAGGAACAGTTCACAGGTGGATAATAAACAGTAACATAAGAAAATAATAAAATACAGCCATACATAGCTGACCTTAAGATATTCTAATTCCAAATGCTCCTTGTCATCAGTGTTACATGGATATGGGTAATAGGTACCTACTAGGGTTGACATAGGAAGCTTACAAAACAGCAATATGAGAATTAGTTATATCTTGTGAAGTCATGCAAATATGTAGAACATGTACACAATGGGAAATCCGCTAAAAATATATCATAGTTACAAAAACCTTAAGAGGTTTATCTTATAAAAAATATGGTACTAAGCTTCAATATGTCAATAATAGTGTTGTTGATTGCTCAAGAAGTGTGCTTAAGTGTCTAAACTTTCCATGTTCAATGACCAACAATCTGAAATGCCCTTTCTCAAAAGATAATTCAGTTTAATCGCTAGCAGAACTAGAAACATGTACAAGCTAAGAATTGAGCATCATATCACTAGCACAAGATGAAACAGCAAATGAACTTCTAAGCTTCTCTTATCAACCTTCCTTCTTTTGTAATGCAAATTTTCCCTTGGCAAAGACTCCTTTTATGGTGCTAAATTTGTCAAAGAAAAGGACAACTAACTAATTTCCCTTTTTCCTTATCTTTTTTTTTATATTAAAAATCTTGTTCAGCCAAATATGTGATGATAAGACATGAGATGGATGCCTATTCTCTAAGAAAATCAAGTAAAGATCCTCTTGAACAAATGGCTCCTTAATTTATAACATCATAGAAAACCAGAAGCATATGCAAAATTAAAACATGAATGAAATTCTATGATTGGAGACTTTAGAACCAACCAATCTATTTTAAAGAAATCGTTAATTAAGTTCAAATCCACAAAAGTAACAAGCAAAACAGCGATAAAAACAAAAGGGAAGTAAGCCTCATACAATTGTTGATCTTGTTTTTCTCCTATGTCATGACTCATGCCTAGTGTTTACAGAAATCAGCTGCATGACCGATATGTCAGCCGAAATTATAGGACTCGCGACAATGAGAAAGGTTTTAATTATCATTTATTATTTTTGGAAAATTATAGGTGAAATATCAGGATTTTCTTAGCAATGTTGATAACATTTTTGTACGTTTTTGATATGTCAAGCGATATTAAGCGTAAAAAATTGGCCAGAGTGGTGTCATGTCAAGTTCAGAGTTAAAATTTGTTATATAGATCAGTTTTTGGTTTAAGGCTAAAGTTGAGCCTCTGGATTTAGGGTTAAAATTGATCCCTAAACCCAAATTTGAATCTAATCTTGAAATAGAAAAATTAGAGTTCAATTAAGCATCAATGCTTCACCTTAAATTTTTTCTAGTTAAGAGTCTCTACACCATCAGATGCTTGTCACACGTTCACCCTCAACCGCATGTCTTCAAAGTCCCTCCTCTTTCTCGATCTCTCTCTTGATTTCTCTTAGTTACATCTCTCCTAGCTTCTCTGTCACTTAAACAAATCTTATTTGCATGATTGTTTTTTAGATTTCATTTAGAACCTCTATGATATGTGCATAGATTATCCAATACCACACTCAGATATTTACTAAATAAACCCAACATAAACTGTATCTTCCACCTTACATGGAATCTTTTCCTCTGAAAAAAAACCCTGATGTCTGATATTTAGAACACTTGCCATATCGACATAAGCTAAAGATCCCCATGTCCATGTTCATGTCCATCATGAAACCAACAGCGGCATGTGGTAATACATGCAGAACGTCTACAGTGAACAAGCAAGAGATGGATGGATGTAGGTGGTGTCATGCATAATAAATCCAGGATACATGCTCTTATTCATTGCATTGTAATGGATCAAGATAATACACGGCATCATCTAAAACCAAACCTACTTTGAATGCAGTTTCCAGTTAGTTTGAGCTGCATTTAAAACTGTTTACATTTCCTTTACCAACCTGAATCCAAAATGTGATGTGCTTTGGCTTTCATGGTGGATCACACCGATGCACTTAAAAGTTGCCATACTTGCATTTCATATTTGGTTTTCTTGTGCTTTGTTTTTTGTGTTGAAAAGTTGTTAATTTGTTATGTTGTTCTAGATTAAATTTTTTAATGCCCTAAGGATGCTATTTGTCACTTCTGTGATTATGGTTAGTTCACACCATGCTGGCAGTAATTGCATTTTAAAACATACTCCAAATAAACATATCAGCATTCCATTATGACAAATCCTAGTTGAAGAATGAAAGTCCAATGAGGCGCCTGTATAATAGTTCCTAGAGGCAATCATTTAAGCAGAAGTACAGTTTAGGCCTCCACCATAACTATTGATAAGAGAGCATTTCCCCACTCACCATGTTAATGTTGTGCTTCCTCAAATTCTTAAATTGGTAACTATATATTATACATATTTGACATTTAACACAAACAGTTCTCTAAAAGCAACTCTTAAACGACTATTTTTAAGAAAATAAGGTTAGGAACTCTGAGTTATTCCTGAATCGTACTTCTGATCATGTAAAAAAAAGGACTGAGATTAAAACTTTTTCCGCATTCCATCTTACAACCCTAATGGCCACATTTACATGCTCATTATATTTCGCAACGTAATCCATCTTACAACCCCAATGGCCACATTTACATGCTCATTGTATTTTGCAACGTTATTATTGTCATAATATCAAAATTTATAGCGTGAAGACTAAATAGCCGAGAGCAAAAGATAGTAAAAGGTACGCTTAACAAATAAAGCCAGAATTCAAAGAAAAAAGAAAAGAAAAGAAAATCTCCTTGCTATTAGATTTTGTCCGCCAAAATATCTAAAATATATAGGATAGGTCGTTGTCAATCAGGTAAGGCCGAAGAAATGAACCAACATAGTAAAAATGTTGATCTAAACAATATATCTTTTTTAAGAACTTCTCTCTCAGCCATCAAAAAGGTTAAAAGCTAACTCCTTTCCAATCAAAAACAACCCAAATAAAATCAACAACCAACCTGCAAGAGAATTTTGACCCTCTCCAGAGGGGCCACCGCCGTCTTAGCGAAAGCCCCAGCCGCTCCCCCAGCAATCAGCTCCTTCACATAAACCGGCAGCCCGCTGACGTCAGCGTCTCCCGCTGCGAAGACCCCATTGGCTCCTTCCCCTTCAACAAACTATACTGAAAAATACAAGAAGAAAAAAATCCCTGAAAACCCTAGGCTCGCCCAAAACAAGTTAACTATCCAGCCTGCAACTGGGCAAACTCCTTATCCCATCGATCTCTCGAGAGGCAGAAGCAGAAATCCCTCCGGTGAAAGAGGATCAGCTGTCGATCTAGGGTTTGATGATGGCGAATGCTAAGAAACTCGCCGTAGGGTTTCTTTGCATCCAAATTGGGATCGACGAGGAGAAGATACATCCAATTCGGTTGGTGATCGGATGGGAGATCGGAGGGCCGCTGGTTTTAAGGAGGCGAGATCAGTTCCATGGATCGAGGATTGAGGTAATGAATCTGGGTTCACTGTAGTGAATCTGGGTTCACTGCGTTGATGTAATTAATGCATGTGTTTAATGAGGTAATTAATGCATGTGTCTGTTGACTGTTTGACTGAATCCTAGCCATTGGATGAAGGGGATTTTTAGTTTTTAGGTTAAGGAGGTTTTTATTAGAACATCTATATATATATATATAGATATATAAAAAAAAATAAAAACATCACTATCCTAAAAACTAAAAACAAATCCTCTCCATTGGATCTAGATTCATCCAATGGCTGAGATTAAAGCTGCATAAGGGTAATCAGGTAAAATAAACAGCCCACTAAAGAGAGCTAATTAATGATTCTCTGTTGAGTTCTCCATTTCCCCATGCAACTCTCTCTCTCTCCAAAATCACAGCAACTCTCTCTCTGTCTTCAACATCTCCCTATCCACGGTCTTCTTCAACATTCGTCTTCAACCTTCATCTTCAACCACTGTCTTCAACATTTGTCATCGTTAAATTATTTTGACGCTTTAATGGTAAGTTTATGAAATTTGTTTGATTTTTCGTCTAAAAGTTTTAGTTTTAACCTTAAAGATCGTAGCTTTTTGTTGTAAAAGGTGAAATATTTCACCTTTTAGTCTGAAAAGTTTTTTGTTTTTTGAAGAAACCAGTTGAAAAACGAAGACACGCATAAGTGAATCTCGATTCACAGCAGTGAATCCAGATTCAGTATGTGAGGTGTTTGTTTTTTACTATAAAAATCGTAATTTTTTGTTGTAAAAGCTGAAATATTTTCATGGTTTAAAATTTTATAGCTTGTTTTTTACCATAAGTTTCTTATTCTTTTTGTTTAAAATTTTATAGCTTGTTTTTTACCATATATAAGTTTCTTATTCTTCAATATAATCCAGATTCAATGGAGTGAATCCAGATTCAATGGAGTGAATCTAGATTCACTGGAGTGAATTCAGATTCACTGGAGTGAATTCAGATTCACTGGAGTGAATCCAGATTCACTCCAGCGAAAGCTTGGATGGTTAGGATGGTTTTTAACGAATTGTTGAAGAAATAAATGCATGTGCTGTAATTTCGAAGAAATAAACGCATGAGTGAATCTAGATTCACTGCAGTGAATCCAGATTCAGTTATGTGAGGTGTTTGTTTTTTACCATAAAAATCGTAACTTTTTGCTGTAAATGTGAAATCTTATCATGGTTTAAAATTTTATAGCTTGTTTTTTACCATAAGTTTCTTATTCTTTTTGTTTTTTATTTTTGCAGATTTGCTATGTTTGATAACGAGTTTCAGTCCACTGAATCTGGATTCAATTCAGTGAATCTGGATTCACTCCTATGAATCGAGCTTCGATATAATCCAGATTCAATGGAGTGAATCCAGATTCAATGGAGTGAATCCAGATTCAATGGAGTGAATCCAGATTCAATGGAGTGAATCCAGATTCACTGGAGTGAATCTAGATTCACTCCAGCGAAAGCTTGGATGGTTAGGATGATTTTTAATGAATTGTTGAAGAAATAAATGCATGTGCTGTAAGTTCGAAGAAATTTTTTGCTGTAAAAGGTAAAATCTTTTCATGGTTTAAAATTTTATAGCTTGTTTTTTACCATAAGTTTCTTATTCTTCAATATAATCCAGATTCAATGGAGTGAATCCAGATTCACTCCAGCGAAAGCTTGGATGGTTAGGATGATTTTTAATGAATTGTTGCTGTGTTCTTCATGCGAAGATGGAAGATCAAAGTTTGATAGAAGATGGAAATGAGTTACAGAGAGTATTAAAGGACGTGTTGTATTAAAGGACGTGCTGTTTCCAAGGACGTGTTGTATTAAAGGACGTGTTGTTTCCAATGTTGTCAGCCACCATTAATATAGTGAATTGTTCCAATTTTACTCTTTTTACATTGTTTTTTACAGCTCATGTGTATTAAATTTGTCTATATTTACAATTATGCCATCGAAATGTAGGCCATTGGATTAGATAGATTGGAGGGTTAGGATTGGTTTTTAGTTCTCTAGGTTTTTATTAGAACCTCTCCCTATATATATATATA